CCTTGGATCTTCCTCAACCCTACGTTAGTGCAGCTAGGTAATACCTTACCATGCTTTTCTTCTCCATTGCTAGCCTTTGAGGCTTGGAATGATATGGGAACAATTTCTAGAAAAGAGATAGGCAACCTTATATTATATGAACAATGCCTCTGGTTATATTAATTTTCCTAAAATTATGTGAAACACTGACAAATGTTGAAGATATTAATATTTAAATGATATTTCAAATAATCAACATCACTTGGGTTACTAGCTGGGTGACTTGGAGCCAGTTGTAACCTTTAAGTCTTGGTTCCTCATAAGTAAAATGACTAAGTTTAAAGGATGTTGTGAACACTAGAGATCATATATGAAGAGTAATCAATATACCATGCAGTACATAGTATACATACTGTAAATAAGACCCACCATCCTCTTTGTTATTAGTAATATAAAAAATGAAACCCAATTTCAAAGACACCACTAGAGGAGGTTACATCTGCCATGAGTTTTGATGGAAGGACAGAATTTGGAAAGGCTGGAAAATGGGGGCATTTACCTTTCAGGTTCTAGGACCCCCATCAAAAGTCCCAGATGTCTGAACTGTCTGTGCAATGATGGGAATCTAATATGTTACGCTGCATTCTTACTTTGTCTACTCTTCCCTCTTCATTGATTTTTCTTCTGTGCTTCTTCATGGCATTTATTTAATGTCACAGAAGCAGGAATACAGGCTGAGAAGGAAGCCCAGCAATAATTATAAACTTTTTAAATTCTCTTAAAATGAGATTCTTCTGTTATCCTTCATGGGTAAGTGTAATGGATGTTAAAAGGAACATGTGCAGTGACTATACACACACAAAAAATCTTTATGAAAACATAAAAGTACAGCCACCAAAATAAAGCAGGCAACATGATGACCAAAATTCTCTTAAAATGAGATTCTTCTGTTATCCTTCATGGGTAAGTGTAATGGATGTTAAAAGGAACATGTGCAGTGACTATACACACAAAAAAAATCTTTATGAAAACATAAAAGTACAGCCACCAAAATAAAGCAGGCAACATGATGACCTTAAATCCATCACCTCTAAACCATAACTATTTTAAGACATTTTTTCCTCCTCTAAACAAAAAACATGCCCATGGAACAACATTCCTGAGTTGGCTTGGAAGCAAAGATGAGAAGATTAAGCCAAAATATGAGATCATCAGGGAGAAGTGGCTGCAAAATGCTGTCCCCTGGAAGAGGCATGCTCACT